AAAAACATACTCCAGAATATGATATTTTCATTAGAGGGCTCCTAAACTTAAATTAGCGCTGTAATTTCCTTCATAAGCAAAATGTTAGGCATCTTCCGCCGAATCACTATACATAACTTTATTTATTTCCCCCAAACATATTTATGTAGCTAAAATTAGTTTTAAGTAATGTTAAAAGTTAAAATTAGTTTTATCTAAAATCAAAACCTGTACAGCAGTAAATTAACTAGACAAAACCAGTTTTGTCTAGTTAAAACTAGAATTTACTGTAGTCAAAAATGAATTTGAGTTAAAACTAGTTTTAACTAGACAAAACGGGTTTTAACAAAGACATTCAGTAGAAACTAGTTTCAACTAGTTAAAACGCGTTCTAACTAAAAACGGGTTTTGACTGTAACATATATATAAATTAAATAACTGTAAATAATTTAAAAATTTAATAAAGAATAATTGACTAATCATGGAGATACTATACAGTGCAATTACAATTTATACAATTTGATTTTAAGTAAAATAATATGGTCTCATAATACAAAATAAATAAATCTTATTAGCATGTGTAAAAATTAATAAATTTTATATGTTCAAGTGAAATAGGGGAAAAAATAAACACATGCAAAGTTACCTCCAGTGATAAAAACAATCACATTAAACTGATCTTGTATATTAATTATCATATATTTCTATTACATAAATAACTCAGTTGAATTTTTAAAAAATTTATATAATAAAATATGTAACAAAAACATACCTGTAACTTTTAATTTGCTGCCCTAAATAAGGTAAAGTTCTTTACACTTGGCTTACATCAAAAAATTATTTTAATCTAGTTATTATATAATATATTTAAGGAAAGCCATCTGGAATTTTAATGTATATTTTATGTTGTGTGAATTTGTGCACATGCATTTCCAGAATGTAACTCACATTTAAATATGAGTTACAACTACACATTAAACAATTCATTGTTAATATAACATTTATAAGAGTTTAAATATTATAATGATTAACTAGTGTTAAATTTAATTTCAACAGTCTATTTTTGTTTAAATCTTAAGAAAAAACTAACACACATTTTTGAAGCCAGTTGTGAAAACTACATGACTTCAGGTATTTCAGGTTCCCATACTCAGAAAACAAAACACCAGATACACTGGTAAAAAATTTCTAGTGTTTAGCACTATTAATAATCATTTGCTTTAAAAAGAAAATCTTCAAGAATTCAATCAGTGATATAAAACAGTAATATGAAAATTCTGTTTTTCAGAACCACATGGTTCAACAGAGAATTTTTAAAAACCTAGTGTTAAATTTATTATAATAATTTCAGAACAAAATTCAATATGTTCCCTAGCCTGATAATGACAATTTTGTATCATTGAAAGTACTTGTGTTATAGAAAGAATTTTAATGCTGTCTGACAGTGTATGTATCTAGTATTATATAATATTTGGCATGGAGTTTAACACTATTTGTCTAAGAATTTTTACAATCCTAAAATTATGAAAATATCCAGATTAAAGACACTGGATTAATACCTAAATTATACCACAAACACTAATAATTAACAAAAGTTTTGTTCTTTTTGCTGGTTATTGTGTTCATGGTTTAATTTATTTAAAATCCAGATTAAAAGCAATACAAGCAAATTATTATGCAAAATATTTTCAATTTAGAATATTTAAGAGTCATACCATCTGTAGGAGAAGTATAAAGTTTTTTGCAGAGTTCTTGGACACCTCCATAATCTTCTTTTATCCTTTCAATAGCTTCACGACCATGGTGCTCCATAAGCTCCCGGAGCTTCTGGAGTGTGACACCATATTGTGCGGGGCGGCCATCAACAGTTGCCATGATAATTTCTTGCTTTCAGCTATAAAAATAAAAAGTTTAAAATTGTATGGCTTATTTTTATAATTGAAAATTATAAATTTCATAATTAAAAATGATTATTAACATTTTCAAAATACAAACCTTGGCATTACAGACTTAAATTGCTAATACTTGTTCTGAATCTTCAAACTCCTAACAAATAAAAATAAAAATTATAAATAAATTCATATCAACTAATAATAACTAGATGTATTAAAATTTTCAGAGTACCTATTAAATAAAATTTGTATAGCTTAAAGTGAATAAATATATTTAGATTTTCCTGAAAGGTTTAAAAATAATAAAAATATTAATATAATCCACATCTTTATTGTTAAGGTTATTTGTTTTATTCCAGGAATTTAAAAAATTTTTAATATAAAGCAAGCAAAGAAATAAAAATATACTCATAGGCTATATATATGTATGTTACTGTGAAAGACAAATTAGAGAATGTCGATATTCTCCGGTGAATGCCAACACATACAAAATACGTCGGTGAAAGACCAAATATTTGGTTATATTATTATACAATCGAACAATTGCCAGTGTATGTCGACAAGCACAGATAAGTTTTGGTGGAGGTTGAAACGACACCCGAGAAGCTGATATCAACAGAGGTGACAGTCTGTCACCAAATCCTTTGTGAGTAGCCGGAGGTAGGACAAGGTCATACCTCTCTCTTTTCCCAACAACGGTTTGAAGGAAACCGCCCACTTTGTCACTGGATGGCGTTTTTGTTCTTTTGATTCCACGAGGTGGGGATTGGTTTGTCAGGTTGAGTGGTGGAGGATGAGAGGGTTCATCAGTAAGGCGTCGGCGATATCCAAATAAAAGACACCATTAACAGATCAGTTCATAATCACGTAATAACATAATCAGTTCAAAGTTGTAAAGAAAAGTTACTTTCCATAGATAAGATTTCTTCTCAAGAAATATCGCTGAGAGAAGCAGCTGCAGCTAATTCAAAAAGTGGAGGGCAAGGCTATACATGCTGTCATTGCAAAAACGAAGTGTTCCACGAATAAATGCAGTTATAAAAGCAAGGTATTCTTGTCAATTCAAAGTGCCATAACAGTTTAAGTTGTTGCAATAAATAAGATTGTATAACATTAATCACACAATTTATGTGTAAGTTTATTATTGTATTATTTTCTTTAATGATTTAGAATGTACTGTTTGTTTTAGGTTCAACAGTTTTACATGTGCTGTTACTTAAACTTTCTCTTATTTTGACATATTAAAAAGTTGCAATTTTGTCTTAACGTAATAAAAATATTTTTATTCAACATTCACCATCAGTGCATGCTGAATGTCGACATTTGCCGGTGTAAGTGAGAAATAATGATATTTAGCAAATATTTCGTACATACACGAAACAACTGTGTGAATGCTGACATTCACCATATAATGTTGACATTCACCAGATAATAGTCATTCACAGTAACATATATATATATAATTTGTAAGCACACACATTACTATTGATACTAAAAATAATTTACTGTAATAAATGAAATGTAAATATGTAGATGATAATATACTAACTGAGGAATTAAAACTTTTCCATCAAAGCATCAAAAAATTGATTAAAAATATAAAGTAAGTAGAAAAGAAATAAGGTTTGTATTTCATGTGGCAATTTTAAAATGAATGACAAGATGTTTTTATAAAATTAATTTTATTACACAAACTTTATTAGTGGTAATAATTTTATTAAAAGAGAACTGTTTTTAATAAATGCAAAATCCAAAGTACTAATAATTATAATTCTGTTGTAAAAAAGGGCTGGCAGAAATTACAATTTAATAAAATAAAAATTTCAATACAAATACTAGTTGTATCTTGCTTGTTTGCCATGTCCAATCACCTGGAACAGGTGATTTGACTGGTGCAGAGCTGTAGCCTACAAAGAAAGGTCATCTCTGCAGTGAAGAATGGTTGTTCCAGGTGATTGGACATGGCAAACAAGCAAGATACAACTAGTATTTGTATTGAAATTTTTATTTTATTAAATTGTAATTTCTGCCAGCCCTTTTTTACAAGAAAATGTTATATTTTTAATTGTGTTGGGATTGTCACCTGTGGACATTTTAGACTATTTTACATATTTGTGCAGAGCTGTAGCCTACAAAGAAAGGTCATCTCTGCAGTGAAGAATGGTTGTTCCAGGTGATTGGACATGGCAAACAAGCAAGATACAACTAGTATTTGTATTGAAATTTTTATTTTATTAAATTATAATTCTGGTTAGTCACAATTTGAAAATCAAGTGTTGTAAATTTGTTAGTTTAATTTTGTTTGTTTGTTTGTTTGTTAATTACAATTTAATTAAATATATTGATGCTTAAACTCATTAGAACTATATAAATCTGAAAAATTAGCTAAACAGTACACACAACCAATGATAAACAAATTTAAAATTAAATATTTAATGAGTACTTTCACTTGTTACATTCAAGCTTCATCAGAATTTAAAAAAAAAATAAAAAAACAGCAGAATTTGATTACATAGAATAAATTTAAATTCAAAAAACACAGCAAAATACAATATAATCCAATCTTGCTAATCTGGTCCTTAGTAATTCAGTCTCTCAATTATCAGGCATACCCACCATTATAATATGTTTGTTTCTTATTCATTTTTTAAATGCATACAATAAACTTGTAAGATTAAATTTAATAATTACAGTTATCAAAACACTGTACAAATTTCACAACAACAAAGACAGTATATCTCCAAAAAACAATCAGTACCAAAGAACAGCAGATCTCATCATTCGTTACCTTTAGGCCTTTACACTCAGTAATTTGGCACGCTTGCCAATCTGAAAAACTCTTCTGGTAAAAGTAATGACTGAATTAACAAAAGTCTGATGTTTTAGATCCATGTACAGTTGTAACTACTAATTATTTTTTCATAAATAAAATAAAATATTCTAAATTTTGTGTTGAAGGTAGTATTACAAAGGTACTAAGAGCAGTTTCTGCTAAGAATATAATGAGTGAATTATAAAAGTGTGTGTATTATCTTGACATTGTTCCAATTAGATGTAAAACTAACCCTCATTAACTATTATTTTAACTAATGCTATATTTAATCTATAGTTTTAATATCAAAACACATATATTAAAGTTATAGATAATATAATAAGAGATGTTTATGACATGTTATATTGATGTGTTTACATATATATATTTTCAGCACATGCTACATATCCATCAGGTTTGATTATCTTTTTTGTAATTTTTATAACTCATTTTCCAACAAGTTATTTATATGTATATTTTATAAGAGAAGAGGATTTAATATTTCATAAAAGAAAAACATGGCCATGTAAATAAACAATTAAAAAAAACAGATGTATTAAACTATTGATATAAACTACAACATAAATATTTATGTTCCTGACAGGAAAAAATATATGAAACAAAACAATGTTACAAACCTTTCATATTAAAAGTACTTTTATCTACTCTATCTTAAGTGCTTTTAGTTATAACTCAGTTTATATTTTAACAAAACAATCAGAACAAACTTTGAAAAACTTAAAGCTTGCCCTGTCAACTTCATCTTCAATTATTCTATATTTTGCCCATTTACTTTTAATGTTAGTTTGGGTGGTGTGTCTATTAATTAATTCATAGACATTTACTTTAACATGTTAAAATTTTTTGTTAATATAAAAATTTCATATTCTCGAAATAAGTTTGCAGAATCACTTTTTACATTAGATTGTTCATTTCAAAAGCACTTTTATGTTCAACATAAAATCATTCACTTCTTGGCATTTTCAAATGTCCTTTTATAATATTCATGTAGCAATCACTGTATGCAACAAAATTTATAAAAAATCTTCATAACTTTAAATATTGTTTATCAAGAAATAACATGCATTGTTTAAAATACAATTGTTTTTAAAATTTTCCAAATAAAAAACTTCTAATAAACATCCCAAAGCCTGATGCATTGATACTAAACCAAACAATTACCGTAATTAATAGGGTTATTATAATGCAATTATTAATAATTATTGATAGATATTAAGTAATTTGGTATTTGAGGTAAATGTTAGGTGCCATCTCTTATCTAAATTAATAATTACTATAATTTAATGATTTATTAAAAATGTTAAAACAGTCTGGAATAAAAGAACTAGCCTAAAGCAGAATTTGGACCTGCAATCTCTGCTTACATAATAATAGCCAAATTAATTACAGCAATCATTTGGTTTAGTAAAAAAATTTATTTTTGATTTCAATATTTTGTTTTATATGTATGCAAATTATTCACATGGAAACATCTAGTTGAATTAACTGTTCAAAGTTACCATAAAATCAAATTAGCATTAATTAAATCTTTAATCAGAGTTAACACAATTTCTTTTTAGTATCCTCAACCTTACAGTGTACTTGTTTCATTTTTGCAACTTCTGATATTACTTTTAGAAAAAGTTTTGATCAAAAATCACTTTTTTTAATAAGTTAAATGCAATTGTACTATGGTTACATTGGAAATTTTGAACTGTCCCATTCCACAAGAATGGGTAGGCTTAATTTTATTATGATTCAAGAGGTCTTTTTAAGATATGTGATATTAAAAAATGTTTTAATTTTCAAAAAACAACTTACAAATGCTGGATTTGACAAATGACAAAAAATAACCTGGCTTGCATCAGATCAACTTAATGCAGGACTATTAATATGTCAAAAACATTTGTATATTCATTAAATTACTTGCTGGTGTAAAAATAATAATTTTTTTTTATCTTGTTTTAATTTTGTTGCATAGCTTTGGCAATATTAGCTCATAATACTTTATATAAGCCATCCTAACTTATATACATAAACACACAGTAACAAGACACACATTACAAAAAAAAATTTTTTTGAAGGCTATTTTAAAGACCTATGCAATTTAAATTTGAAGAAATAGTGTTTAGTTATATCATTAACTCCAAATTAAATAAATATTGGTATCATTTAAAAAACTGTTGCTTTATATAGCCAATTACTATTTTATTAGGTATTATTATTAACTAAATTTCAATACAATCATTAGAAATGGAATTTGAAATATTTCTATGAATGAATACTAGCTAGTATATCCTTATTGTACAGATATGAATATGCATTTACTCACTTTTTCAGAT